AGGCCACATGTTGTTTTGAGTTTGCCTCTCTCTGACCTCCCTGGGCAGAGCTCAGCTGGGCTCCCACCCTTGGCCCACGCACCCGCTGTGAATCTGCCTCATTACCTTGACTCCTGGGCTGCTATTTAAGCTGAGGGCTCAGAAGGCGTCTTCGCTGGATCATTGAGTCATACTTGTCAGTACAACTCTGATAATCTGTTTCTTGCGTGATTTCTCAGTTTGTTTTAACCACGTTTTCGCTGTGCATAAACTCCTGGACCTGTCCTTTTTACTTTACCTGTTTCTCTGGCAGTGGAGTGGAGTGGGTGAGAGTGCTGAAGACAAATGAGAGAGGAGCGAACGAGCGGAGCATGTTTGTACTCTCTTCTCTTTTTACCCTGTTTAACACAGTTTAACAAACAAAGTTAAACTGTGGATTATATTTATAATTTAATCCTTTATAACACAGACTCAGACTAAGAGATCCACTTGTATCACCTATATTTACACACTGACTCAAAAAAAATATCAAAAGGTCAAATTCTTGCTTCCAGTCTCTAGTGCATTTCTTAGAGTAAATACTTCATTCTGATATAGACTGAAGCTCTGTAGGGTTTCAGTTTTGTGTGTGCATGTCTCTGACAGTAGTAATGATGATCATTCAGCAGAAGTCCAACTTCCTCATTTTCATACTTGTGTTCACATCTCCTTTAGCCCACCAGAAAGTGAACATTGGAAACACAAGTTTAAAATATAATATCTAGTGTTTTGGCAGCTAAAAATTGAATGTGGGTAACTTGGGTGAGATGTAGGTCAGAGGTTATTATCAGTTTACTTAGAATCCATGACAAAGAAAACCAGTATAAAAAAATAAGCACAGGTGTGTAGTGTATGACAGCAAGTGTATGATGGTTTCTACAAGCTGAAGAACAGCAGCCATTCAGCATCAGCATATTTATTCTCTATAAGAGGAATTTAGTTGCACATCAAGGCAGACTCACTCCAAAACCTCTGAATGCCTTTCATAAACACTGTAATTAATGCTGCAGTAAAAGAGAAAGATTAGGATACTCAATAACTGAAGTTGCCTTCATCCTTCCCTGCATCCAAGCTTCTTCAGCAGAAAGCTGAATGTGGAAGCAGAATTTTAAAAAAATGGTTAGTTCTTGTCACAAGATTATTATAACACTGGACTCCTCTCCACACTTCATACACAACACAACATGGTGTTCCTCAACATGAGGGAACTGACTGAGAAGTGTGTATTTAAAGGAGGCCTTCAGGTGCAGTACTGCAGGCAGTCAGAGTTTAGAACTAAATGTGAAACTAAACATAAGTTAGTTTATCTGTTCTTTTCTATCAAACAAAAAAGTTTCATGTAATTTTTTTTTTTTTTGCGATTCTCTGGTTTGCATATGTTGTATTTGTCATGGTCCCAGGAGTTCTAACCTGGTGTTTTGAGTTTTGACATTCTGTTTTAAGTTCATTTGTATTCTTAAAATCCCTAGGTTGCCTGTTCAGTTTAGTTGATTAGATTTCCCCTTGTTTCTTTGCCCTTTATCTCCATTTATGTGTCTGCGTTTATTTAATTGTGAATTCTTGTGGCTTTTTTCACTTGTGTTTAATTCCATCATGTTTATCATGTTTCCCCAGCCTGTTATGTCTGCGCTCTCCCCGTGTCTCTGTCCCCCCTCCTGTCGTCTCTGTGTCCTCCCTGTGTTACGTTTAAGGTCCTCATCTTGGTCAGTATTTTGCAGTTCTGTGTCCTTCCTGTCTTGTTATGTGTAATTGTCCTCAGCTGTCCTCCCCGTATGTTCCCTTGTCCCTCATTACCTTCTGTGTATTCATGCCAGAATCCCCTTCTGTTCCGTGTTGCGCTGTCCCTCATCACATTTCTATTTAGAGAGTTAGAAAGTGCTTTATTTCATTCACTGTGAATCACTATGGAAATAAATGGAAACAAACAGAACAGGTACAAACAGTGGGCCTGTCTCAATATGCGTACTTGTACGTACTTGTGAGTCGTGTCCAAATGGGCTGCATCCTCCTGAGGAGTCGGCCTTCGCGGCCTATGTGGGCCGGGTCCTCAGAAGGTCAGGTATACTGGAAGTAAACGGCTGTGGAATTGGACACTCTAGCCTTCAGATTTGCATCACCGCTGTCCTGAGTAAATCGGTTTGGCTGAGATTAAAGTTAAGCTTCATAACATATTAATCACAGTTAAATTAAGAGGGAACAGCAGTAAAAACTCTGGACCTGTGACATCATCAAGTACGCTGGTGTTCCAATTGTAGAAATTGCGAGTCTGTGCTTGCGTTCTCGGCGAGTACGGACTTGTGTACTTGAGAAAGGGCCAGTGCATATATCACAGTAATATACTGACTACTGATAAACTTCACCAAATGTACAACGTAACATTCAAGGAATCTCACAGAAATGCTGCATTTTAAACATCAAAGCTCAGCTACAGTTAGAGCTGAAAGGAGCCTGCCTGTCCAGATGGTGGCGCTGTAAGCTCACGTTTCCTGCTCTGCTAAAGACAATCTTATTTTCAGTCTAATGAATGAAGTGACTGTCTGCAGCAGTGTGAAAGACTCAGATGAGGAAGAAGCTGCTGGTTAGAAATGAACGACTGATCAGAAACACAAAAAACAAGTTAATGAAAACACGAACAGCTTTGATTCACACCAAGTAAAGGGAGGAAGTAATCAAACATTTTCTTTAAGTATAGAAAAATAACAAGAAATGTTTGTTTGTGAACACTGTGAAAGTGTCTGAGTGTGACATCATTTCTGGTTTTACTCTGTGAAATTCTCTCCTCTGTCTGTGAGCTCTGCAGGGAAGCCAGTAACACAACTTAAACACAAATATAACCAGAACAAATATGATGGACCAGGACACACTCTCCTTCAGCTGTCCTGGAGCATGCTGGGAGATTACATGTAGCTGCTCCCACCATGCTGCAGTATTCTTAGAGAGAAAATGTCCCCACCATCGTTTGTGTTGATTCATTTCTGGAGATCCCAGATGCCTTTCTTGTTTCAAAGATGGAGCATGCACTTACATGCATTACTTACAATAGATATCGATGTAGTTCCTTTCTGTTTCCACAAGTTTACACTGCTTACACTGCTTTCCAGCAGGTCAACAGCGCAATCTGTTGACCTGCTGGAAACTCTTGCCCAAAATGACTTTGTCTTTTAAAAGATGTAGGGAACCTCTGGCCTTTATTAATGATATCAGTTAAAAATACATTCATAAATGTGAAATCTATTCTCAGTTATTTTAATAACAACTGCATTATAAAAGTGTTGTAAATTCTTTAAGAGAAGAAAGGAAATCAATGCCAGCACATGCCTTTGATTGTTGGAATATCCCAAGGGGCTATTGGGACGAGTACAACCAGTATGAATCATAAACGCCTCAGGCATGTCGATGAGCAGGTTGTTTAAGATGACAATCACACTAAGGAAGAGCTTTAAAAAGCTGAGCATAGCCAGTTGGTACGTGACAGTACACTGTTACTTCATGGCTGCAGAATGTCAGTGAAAAACAGCCAGCAGCACTAAATAGTTTATTTTTGACTCCACTTAGTGGATTCCTGCATTAATACTCTTGAACTGTAAACTGTAAAACATATCAGAGTCTCTTAAACACACATTAATAGTCTAATTATTCTTAAATATAATGATACTATTGTTTGTCTGGATACAACTTTGCTTTGATATTTCTGCAGTCTTTCATTTTGTCTTTAGATATTTTAATGAGTGAATGAAGTCAGACTGTAGATTGTCCTTCTTCTAGCTGTACTGACTGAGCTTTGACCTCATGTGTTGATGACTCTTCACCTCTGTCTCCTCTCACAGTGAGAAGATGATCTGCAGGATCCTGCTGCTCATCATCCTCACCTCATGTGTCTCTGGTTAGTTTACAGCTTCACTTTATGAACTCCAAATAAAGCTCAACAACAGATTTGTTCCAGTTTAAGAGTGAATGAGTGAGCAGTTTTACAGGCCTTACCCTACGATATAAGCAGAGGAGAGTGGATGGATGGACGGGCAGCTGCTTGTGTCAGCAATGGGGAAAACGGTGTAAGTCATTGGAGTTCTTTTATCTGCTTGTGAATGAGGAAGAAACTCAAAGAAATTTGTTTACATCGTCGAAGTGCTTCTCTTAAATCAAAAGCACTTCTCGCTTTATTACCTGTTGAACAGGTAGTAAAAAACAATTTAGAAGGAATGCGGCATGAACCAATGAGAAACTGATATAACAACAATACAGCAGCTTTCTTATCTACCCAGACATATCAGGACACAATGGTGAAGGATGCATTCATGGATGTATGAAGAGGTTTTTAAACACTTATCTGTAAATGGATAATTTCAGTCAGACTGAACACTATTGTGCAGAACTCTTCACTCTGGCTGTCTGTCTTAAATTATGAGGCAATAAATCACACAGAAAGCTGAATTTTTCTCACGCGAGTCAACAATGTTGAATAACCTAAGTCTAAAACAAGAAATAGAATCAGCTCCAAAACTCAACTCGAAGTATGTGAGACTGATTTTATTGTTTTGATCAAAGGGCGATTTACAGTTTTGTGTTTTAAACGTGCGTCTATTAAAATGTTGCATTTCTGTCATTGAATATGTGTATAAACCTTTTATAAACAATCTATTCACAGACTGTTGCCTAAAAGCTGGAGATGAACAGTAACTTTTTAACTAACAGGTGACTCACACTGAAAACAGCAGTACATGACCCTGTAACCATCTGGTCCTAACTGTTGTGACACTAATGAAATCTACAATGAGTATCATTGTAATGACACATCTTCATACCTAACTAGTTACAATGTAAATTGATAATATAACAGCGAAAATTCAGATCCAGTTACAAATGAAGTATTAGGGACTAACGGATAAACCCGTTGAAAGTTCTCCACTATGACTGTGTGGCAGGATGAGGTGCTCAGGAATAATGAGGAAAAGAGCAAGGGACTAATGATGCTGTCCCAAGCACACACCATAGTTCATAAATAATCACAGCACACATAAATACCCACCACCAGGGCCCCCTAATCACCTCCTCTTTAGGCCTTCCTCTGAATAAGACTAACAATTTTTATTCTGAATACTTTATTAAATTTAAAAAAATACTTTGAAGTTCTGCAGATGGATCAAACAAGAAAACAAGTCAAAAAGCAACGAGGCAAAGCACCAGCCCAGAGATTAAACGTAGGCCAGAGAAACAGCAGTGGCCCTGCTACAAAGTAATCAGGCTCAGACCACCGATCAAACTGCATTGCCCAATTGCTCTCCCTGAGTCGAGTCCATACTGTTAAGGTACAAAAGTTCAATACTGCAAACTGAACAACACCCTGCAGGATGTTGCCAGTGTCATCAGTTCTGCTATATGAATGCTATAAGAGGGAACCGGAAATGTATGAATTTAATCTGAAAGTTTTGGATGACTTATTGAATAATTTTAACAGTTTTGGAAATGTGTTCTTCCATTTTAACGTAAGCTTCTAAGAGTTCAGGGAGGTGAGGTCCTCAGTCAGATGAAGCTAATGGGTGGAGCTTCTGATGAAGAAGCAGGAAGAGACTCAGAAGAAGAAGAAGTCGAGGTGACCACACTACTCAGACTGTGACTGTTTACATGTTTACATTTTCTTTTCTCTGCTTTTAAACTCAGTGTGATGAGCAGAGCTGCAGCAGTTGCTGTCAGTATGAGTGCAGCATAGAGGCCGATCCTTCCTCGACTCTCTGTCTGTGGGTTCATTGTTGGAGTTTGATGTTTGGGCTCATCAGCAGCTGCTGGAAGGACAGAAAATATTATTTTATCCTGAAAGTTCAATCAATTCATCAAAGTTTATTATCCTAAAGTTCAACTAAAATATGACACTCATTTTTAAAGTTCTACTCAATCAACTTACCAGTGACGCTGAGTTTACAATCTTGAAAGCTGCTGCCATTATTTGTCTTCACTTCACATCTGTACAGACCCGAGTCATCAGTCCTGAGTCTGGACAGTTGAAGTCTGATTCGTCCTTCTCTGAGGGCGTCTTTGTCACTCTGGACTCGTCCTGAAAACTTTGCATCCTGAGACTCTGACACCTCAACACCTTCATGAACCTGATAGAGGACTGAGAGTTCTGGACGACTGCAGCGGATCTTCAGTGAAGTGATGAAGCTGTCAGGTTTGGTGGTGAACGTCCACTCCAGTGTGATGTTGTGGTTCTCCTCTGCCTGATAGCAGGTCTGTGTTACATTGACTACAAATGATCCTGTTGAGGAGACAGAGAGGGAAAGAGAGGAGCAGACACACTGAGAACTGCAACAAATCTGTTGTTGAGCTTTATTTGGAGTTCATAAAGTGAAGCTGTAAACTAACCAGAGACACATGAGGTGAGGATGATGAGCAGCAGGATCCTGCAGATCATCTTCTCCCTGTGAGAGGAGACAGAGGTGAAGAGTCATCAACACATGAGGTCAAAGGTCAGAAGCAGTGATGCAGTTAGAGAGTTTGTCCACCAGGAGAAAAAAGTAGATTTTTATGTGTTCGTGTTATAAATAAATGTGTGCGCTGAGTGAACAAATAAAAGCGGATTAAAACAAAATCATTTGACTTCTCTTGGTTTGATCTGATTTCTATATTTATAAGTCAGACTGGACAGATTCCAAAGTTGGACATTAACTTGGGTTAAGTTTCATGATTAGTTCTGGGCTCTAAGTTTTTTTTTTATGCTGCTTCTCTGCTGAGTAAGCCGTTTATTGGGGATGCAGGGGTGGGCAACTCCAGGCTTTGGAGGCCGGCGTCCTGCAGGTTTTAGATCTCACTCTGGGTCAACACACCTAAATCACATGATTAGTTCATTAGGCCTCTGGAGAAGTTCAGGACATGTGGAGGAGGTCATTTAGCCATTTAAATCAGATGGGTTGGATCAAGTACACATCTAAAACATGAGGCCTGGAGTTGTCCACCCCTGAGAGTGTAATTCATAAAATGTGCCTGTGTGAGTTCTTACATTACAGTGAAATCAGAAGTCACATCATCACGTGGTTAGCTTTGTAAAAAATGATGATCGATGGGTTAAAGAGAGAGAGAAGAAAAGGAGGAGATAAAGTACAGCAGCTGGTGTCTGCTCGTCTTCCCACTCTAACAAACACATGACTGAGCTGAGCTGAGAGAACAGCAGTTCAGTGAGGGGAGGGGGGTTATGATGAAAGGTGAAGAGTTGTTTAACATATGCTAGCATTTACACTTCGAAGCTAACCGCAGATTATATTAAATATAAATTCTAAAACTGAATACATTTCATAGTGTTAACCATTTTAAGCCCAACAAGTCCACCAGCTTATCTTTACATTCCTACATGCTGCAGGGCTTCACATGTTTTCTGTAATTGAAAAGTTTAATTATGTGTCCATTAACAAAATAAGTTATAAACTATATTTATATAAAACATGTGTATACTTAGTGCATTAGTTGTATTTTAACTATAAATAATTCATATTAGAAAATATAAAGCCTGCATATTTGTAAAGAAATGGCTTTGACTTTGCCACTCCATCGGATGTCTTTAGTTCCGCCCCTGCTGTAGTAGTGCCATAAATTAGGTAAACAGAAATACTGAGCTGGACTTCAGTGGCTGAGGATCATGAGAAGATTAAAAGGACACGATAAAACCATAATGCATACACTCCACGGGTGAATGCGCCGGTGATGGTCCTTATAACAACTTATCATAGAGCAAACACTCCAAAACAAGATGCCCATACGGCACTCTGTGGCAACTGGAGCAAATCCTCAAAGGACGAGCAAAAACGGAGGCAGCAGTTTTCCTCCACTGGCTGGGCCGATACACTTAAACATTCACCGCTGAATGGAAGTTCTGCATGGCAGCCATCTAGTCATAGAAATAACAAAATAGCTTTAGCTCCTAGTTTTGTAATTTGCCGTTGGTGGCAAAATGGCGCAAATGCTGCTTAGCCCAGAATTGAAAGAAAGCTATATCCACCTGAAGGAATGCAACTGCCCTCTGCACAACAGCTGGAAATAAGGAATCGGGCAGTCTGCAAACAGTGCCGCAAACAAGCCACTAAAACACTTACTAAACAAATTAAGTGGATAAAGGATGGCAAGCACACCTGTGACTTTGTAGAGTCGG